CCTGCGGCCCTACGCGCACACACGGGCCCCCCCGCAGCCCTAAATGCACGGCTTCCTCCCCCAGCAGCTGGGTTCGGTCAGGCTGAGAACTTCCTAGTTTCAATAAAACAAAGAGCGAACCGTTTCGCAGGTGGCTTTTCGCTGTCAGAGGAAGGGCGGCTTTCCCCACAGCTGCTGCTGCCTTCTCCCCCCCTCCATGGGATTTGTTCCCAGCTTGCTTCTATCTGGGCACCCATCTCTGGGGAAAGCGGTCAGGGCGCTGTCCAGGCAGCCTGGTCAGGGCTTCAGCAATGCCACTTGTCAGCATTTACATCTGGTTAGCGTTTCAGCCAGGTTTGACCAGAGAAGATGCCTGGAGAACACAGTTGCATTCTCCTCCAGCATCTCCTCTCTCCAAATCATCCTCCAGAAACTGCACCGCTGCAGGATAGTGCTCTCTCTCCGGTAGTCACCAGCTGCTGGCTAAGAGGAGGCACATCACCCAGGCAAGCCCTTTAGAACAATCCTTGCTATTCAGCACTCAGTTGGCAGCAAGCGACGCTGCCAGCCATTCATAAAGCTGTTTTCTCTATGCTGTTCTTCTTTCTTCTCACTCAGAGCACAATACACATTCGGCCCCCTTCCAGATGCTCCCGGTGCGCAAAGTAATAAAGACTGGTTAAGCCAGAATAACACTTCCCTTGCTTACCACCTCTTCAGGCCTTTCCTTTAAATTCTTCCAGAGACAGAAGCCTTTGCCTTTCAGGTTGACATCTGTCAACTCTCCCTGAGGTGCTATTTCTACCCATTGAAAGTCCACGTATGGAAGAATGTTTTTGCTACATTCAGACCAAACCACAAGTTTCAAGAGTGCTTGGGGCTACCTGTGAGGTGCTAGGAGACCAAACACGTCTTCCATCTCACCGCCAGCCTCCATGTGAGAAGTGCAATGCCTCTTCAAAGCAGCCCACCACCACAACCAGCCACTTTGTTTTAGCTCACTCTTGTTCTGCCAAGCCCACTAGAATAAGGCAGCTGGCGTGCAGAAAAGGGGGCACTGAGTCAGCTGCCACACACTTCACCATGCTTTCTAACAGCCTTGTTCTCCCCCTTCAGATTATCTTCTCCTGCGTAATCTAGCCCATATGTTGTTTTCCAAGACCCTTTGTGCTTGTGCTGTTTGGTGGTCAACGACTGACTGGGATGAGACAAAGACGACAGTGCTGACAGCGCATCACGCATAGTCAGAGACATTTGTCAGATAAATCTGTTAAAGGCCTTAACTAACATGCAGGAGGAGCATAAATCTACATTTCAAGAAGTTCTTGATTATTCCACATCTTTTAAATGTTTGGCAATGTGGACAGATTTCTTCTCAGGGCCTGCATTTAGGGTGTTGCCATCAAACTCAAGCCACAGTGGGGGCAAGTGTGAGGAAGGCAACTTGGTGAGCAGACACATCATGGTGCCCATACCAGCCCATCTCCCCCCATACCACTGACAGGCAGGACAGAGATCTGGATGCCAAGAGTCTTTTGCCAGCACTTGCTTTTGACCTTTATTCTGCAACCAGCATCACCTACTGAGGGAGGGAGGTTACACATCCTGCTTTTTACCACCCTCCTTTAGCCCCTTTCTTCTTCTTCTGCTGCTGTTTCTTCTTGGTGGCCGGGGCACCGGCGGGTTTTTGGTGCCTGGGAGGGATGACATTACTTGTGGCTGATACAGCTGCAGCGCTGCCGGGCCGAGGGGAGGTAGGTGGGCTGCTGGCAGTCCTACTGGCATCCCTGCAGGGAAGATGAGAGAAAGAGATACCATGTGGGTTCACAACCACCTGCAAGATGTGGCACTACTGCAAGAAGCTGGCAGCGAAAAATAGCAGCTGCCCCGTAAGATAGCATTATGTATGGGAGGGCACTCATGCAAGGAGATCTTAAATAAGCTTCAACATATATAGAAGGGCTGATGGATGACGGGAACGTGTCTCAAAGGGCAGGCAACCACCTTCTAACTGATGTTCACTAGATAGCGTAAGTCCTCAACAACAAAAGCAAGGCTAACTTTTGAATACACACATGACAGCTCATGCAACACGTGAGAAGCCTTTCAGGTCCCCACACTTAGGCAGTGCAAACCCAATATCCTTTCTCTCTCAACCACAAAGGCATCTTTGTGCCAGCTCTCTTTGCAAACACCGCTCAAGCCAACAGTACCACAAAAGGCTTTTCATGCTTCTGTTTTGAGACAGCTGTGTAAAGAGAAACTATCAGACAGCACGGGCAATTCCCTGTGTTGCTATTATTTTAGAAGTACTTCCTTCTCTCAGATGCTAGTAAGTCACCATCTTGCTGTCAGGCCTCATACACAATGGTTAACCCTGATTCCAGCTCAAATAATCAGTGTCAACCTAGAAGGAAGTATAGTGTTTTCCCAAATCATGGCTAATAGTGCTCCAGACGCCAAAAGACTTGAAAGCAAATAGCTCGAGAGAAAGCGTGCAAAATTCATCTCATCGTCAAAGCTAAGAAAAGCACATTAAAAGACTATGGGAATTTTATTTGCGCCTTGGCACCTTCAAGCATGCTTATCTTCATTTTGGTTTTCAGCAACCTATAGGGATCTTCAGGAAGAGCAGCTGGTAGAAGGTTCAAGTGGCAAAGTACTTTCACTTGTGCTACCCACGGTTGGTGTGGTGACAGAGCCACAGAAAAGCAGCACAAACCCAGCCCTCCCAGCCGCCCAGGAGTGATTCCCCACACCAAGCCTTGCAAAATGGGTACTTACAGTTCAGAGGAGCCAGCTGTGGTTGAACCCTGAGTCCCCTTGCCAACCTGATCCTTCTTCTTGCCCTTCTTCCGTCCACGATAGTAGGAACGCTCTCGCATTGGAAGCCACCGCTCAGGGTCGGGAGTCACCTTGGGGTCATAGTTCTTAGGCAGCTTTCCTGCAGAACATCCAGTGCCAGGAAATGAGATTGGTGTCAACATGCTAGAGAGGCATCACCAAGGGATACGCATGGGATGTCAGTAGCCAGGAAGCACAAAGAGCCCAGCAACCCATATCATCCTACCAGGGTGTTGCTCTCACTTCTATGGAAAAAGCCCCATCCAAACAAGCTATCATGAAGATCTGGGTTCACAGGGACCCAGTCCCAGCAAAGGGCTCCAGCTCCTGGGGAGCTGGAGGCTGGCTGTTTGAAGAAACAAGCTGGCGAGCTCTCTGGAGCTGTGCCGTGTCAACAGCTAGGAAATGCAACTTACCCTTCTTTTTTTTCTTCTTCTTCTTCACATCCCCTTGTCTGAAAAGCAAGAAGGGAAATAGCCGCTGTGACACAGCACGGACACAGCAGACAAGTTAACTAAAAACTAGGTCTGGAAGAAGCTAAACCATTCTCATCTCTCTCAAAACTTGGTCTGATGCTACCTGAAGCTCCTTGCAGTTAAACACCGGGCTCCCTTTCCTAGAACGGCCTGCCTTCTACAGCAATGCCTTCACCACATCAGGTGTGGTTCCTGTGCCACTCCAATGAATGACTGCACCAGAGCTACAGCAGCCCGCTTTACCCTTGCTCCTTCTGCTGGTTGTCTCCAGTGAGCTTCCCAGCTTTCTTCCGCACATAGGTTGCTCCATGGGAGTTCTCCAGCGCATCAACATCTACTTTCAGTGACATGGTGTCCGAGGAAGGCAAGTGTTTGCTAAGACTGCAAGGGAGGAGTTCAGGGATGCAAACCGGCAAGCAAAAAGATAAACACCCAGGTTTGTCCAGATAGCAACGGGCAACTTCAGCTTGAACAAATTTGGCCTGTTAACAATGCAGACACCAGACAGGCCTACGGGGCTAGTTCTGGCTCTCTCACCAGCTTCCTACACAAGCTGGGATGAGCTGCTTAATCGCCATCTGCCTCATTTCTC